GGAATATACGATATCGAAACTCCAGTGAGTTAAATAGTGCCTTTAACCAACAATATTCGTGAGAAAAAAAATTTTAGTCGCCAATGTTACCATAAAAGGTAAGTTGTTACAATTTGTTAAAGTGTATCAACCTGTAGCACACTATTCATGAAACATGTGTTCCCTAAATTTTGTAACCCGATCCTTTTACGCGATCTTGCAGGCCTTACGGTAGGCTTGTATGTTGTTTCTGTAAAGTCATAATTTAAATTCAGAATAATTTAGCGATAATTAATGATATTTTAACGATAATGTAGAAATAAATTAGATAACTTCACATGCTTCAGTCAAAAATTACCTGCACTCTTTATATTTTTATTCCAATTATGTTCTTGCAGAATAGTCCTAATTTCGCTTTGTAATAACTTCGGCTAACGAAAAGAATATGAAGAATTAACAAGTATTCCAATATTACATAACTAAATTAATATTTAAATAAAATACCATTCCCAAATTTTCTAATTTCTGTTTAAGAGATGCAAATTGATTTTGATTTACTGAAAAACGGCACATTAAACATTGAGCAATGCCAGAAAGCTCATGCAACACGTCAATTTGATCACTCTATTATTTTATTATAGAAATCAAAACGTTAATACTAATAATAATAACTATTAAATATATAACTATTCAACATACTTCTTGAGAAATAATATCCAGCACTTCTGGATACATTGGAACAACTAACATGAAAACGTCAGACGCAATTTGGTAACCAAGAAGCATATATTTGACAACCAGTAAAGAATCTTCTCGCGATTGTCTATCCCGTAAATATCTGAAAACTAATATAAAATTAATTGATTCGTTCATTATTTATTATAGTTAAAGGCAATTATTATAATGATAAATAAAATGTTTTATTTCGCATACCTTTTGTAATATTGATACGTGTGATTGGGATTAAAAGCTCATGACTTTTGACAGTTTCCAAAGCTTTCATTAATCCAACGATCCAATGCCCTAAAAACATATGCAAAAATTAAATAATGAAGGATTGATAATGAAGGATTGATAATGAAAAATTGGTAATAAAGAATCGATAATGAAAAACCGACAAAGTTAGTTAACTTTAAAACAATAGAAATTAGACCAACCTATATTTTTGGCAAACGGATGTGGTATCATGTCAATCATATGTCGTATATTCA